GAATCCAATTGAGCACATCTGGGACATCATGTCTCGCTCCATCCACCAACGCCACGTTGCACCACAGACTGTCCAGGAGTTGGCGGATGCTTTAGTCCAGGTCTGGGAGGAGATCCCTCAGGAGACCATCCGCCACCTCATCAGGAGCATGCCCAGGCGTTGTAGGGAGGTCATACAGGCACGTGGAGGCCACACACACTACTGAGCCTCATTTTGACTTGTTTTAAGGACATTACATCAAAGTTGGATCAGCCTGTAGTGTGGTTTTCCACTTTAATTATGAGGGTGACTCCATATCCATACCTCCATGGGTTGCAAAATTTGATTTCCATTGATCATTTTTGTGTGATTTTGTTGTCAGCACATTCATATATGTAAAGAAAAAAGTATTTAATAAGATTATTTCATTCATTCAGATCTAGGATGTGTTGTTTAAGTGTTCCCTTAATTTTTTTGAGCAGTGTATATTATCTCAAAATGTAGTCTGAACATGTGGGAAACATGGTTGAAGAACCTAGATCATTTGAAATTTATGAAAACCATTTTGAGGGATGTTGCACTATACACCACCTGAAAACGCATTAATTTCACTGTAATTGAATATTCATGTTTGGACATACAAAATTACCATAATTTGTATTTACATGTCTTTTCAAAATTATATATAAATACAGTATCAGTCAAAAATTTGGACACACCTACTCATTCAAGGGGTTTTCTTTATTTTTACTATTTTCTACATTGTAGAATAATAGTGAAGACATCAAAACTATGAAATAGCACATATGGAATCATGTGGTAACCAATAAAGTGTTAAACAATTCAAATTATATTTTATATTTGAGATTCTTCAAAGTAGCCACCCTTTGCCTTGATGACAGCTTTGCACACTCTTGGCATTCTCTCAACCAGCTTCATGAGGTAGTCATGAGGTAGAGTTAACTGCACCTCAGATTGCAGCCCAAATAAATGCTTCACAGAGTTTAAATGCTTCACAGAGTTCAAGTAACAGACACATCTCAACATCAACTGTTCAGAGACTGCGTGAATCAGGCCTTCATGGTCGAATTGCTGCAAAGAAACCACTACTAAAGGACACCAAGAAGAAGAAGAGACTTGCTTGGGCTAAGAAACACGAGCAATGGACATTAAACCGGTGGAAATCTGTCCTTTGGTCTGATGAGTCCAAATTTGTGATTTTTGGTTCCAACCGCCGTGTCTTTGTGAGACGCAGAGTAGGTGAATGGATGATCTCTGCATGTGTGGTTCCCACTGTGAAGCATGGAGGAGGAGATGTGATGGTGTGGGGGTGCTTTGCTGGTGACACTGACGGTGATTGATTTAGAATTCAAGGCATACAACCAGCATGGCTACCACAGCATTCTGCAGCAATACGCCATCCCACCTCCAGGCTGTGTAAGGGCTATTTGACCAAGGAGAGTGATGGAGTGCTGCATCAGATGACCTGGCCTCCACAATCACCCAACCTCAACCCAATTGAGATGGTTTGGGATGAGTTGGACCGCAGAGTGAAGGAAAAGCAGCCAACAAGTGCTCAGCATATGTGGGAACTACTTCAAGACTGTTGGAAAATCATTCCTCATGAAGCTGGTTGAGAGAATGCCACTTTGTGGGTTACTACATGATTCCATATATGCTATTTCATAGTTTTGATGTCTTCACTATTATTCTACAATGTAGAAAATAGTAAAAAATTAAGAAAACCCCTTGAATGAGTATGTGTGTCCAAACGTTTGACTGGTACTGTATGTGTGTGTGTGTGTGTGTGTGTGTGTGTGTGTGTGTGTGTGTGTGTGTGTGTGTATGTGTGTGTATCAGTCCTTATTTAACAATGCTTACCTACCTATAAAAGCCATTGAAGCAGATCTAAAGTAATTTTTGTAATATTGTTGAAATTAGTCAAAATGATATGCAAATTGCCATTCTAATATGGCATTGCTGTTATGACCTTCTTTTAACTTCTCAACTGCCTGGTAGAGCTCTGATATTTCAAAAATAAACATCAAGTTGAAAAAAAGATCTATTGGACATTTTTATTTGAGTTGTTAGTAATAGGAATTTAAGGTGAAATATTTTTTTCTACATGTTTTTCAAGAAGAGACAGTTAAAGGGTTAAACGAACATGTAACAGGTTGGCGCTTTATATTTCACCCCACGGCCGGTCAGGGGAGGAGAAGAGCCCACTGCACACCACTCACTCCCCACAGAGGTCTGCCCTGGACTTCAAAAGACTCAGAGAGGGCCTGCACTATGGTGTAGTGACTGGTGGTTTCACACTGCGCTGTGGTGTGTGTGTGTGTGTGTGTCTTGTGAAAGCGGGATCTTCTGCGTGCCTGGTTAGTAAGTGTGCATACCATGGCATGCACATTTTGTACATACTCACTATGATATACAACACTGTTACCTTGATATCCTCTTCATGCTAAAATTAGATTATGGAGCATAAAAACATACTTGTTGCAGCCTTCTAGTAACTATAAATGAGCTGCTTGCTTGAAGTATGACCTAAATTAAGTACAAGACGTGACTTTGTGTTACACTCCCATGGGAACTGTCACAGTTAGCTCTGATTACCATTCTATGTAAATTAGTTAAGTTGAGGTGAGTCAGCTAAAAACACTAGGTGTCATGAATAAAACAGATGATATATGGAGATAAACATGAGTGACAAGCCCCGCCCATTCACCCTCCTGAAGAGGAAGTGCGATCCCTCCTCCTTTCTTCTTATTTTCCTTTTCCTGTCAGTTGATTCCAGAGGTGGTGAGAGAGTGGGGCGTGGTGAGAATGTGATGGGCCCTGCAGGTTGAAAGACAGAGGCTTGAGGCCAGATCCATCATGTGCCCCCTTCCTTCATTCCTCTCTGCCTCTGCCTGAGGCTGGGGAGGGACAGGCTGCAGAGGTGCTTACCTTTACGTAACACACACAGGACACACAAGAACACACACACACACACATGCAGTTATGAGAGCACAAACGCACGTGTATGCACATAAGGGTTCACATACACATAAACGGTGCACCATACACATCTAAACACAACACACAAACACATACACACAATATGTCTACTGTCTTCATCTGGTAGCCAGCTTGTTGTAACTGTTACAGTACAAGATTTGCATTCCCGAGTCATATATTAGAAGTGTGAGGTGGGTTTCTGGTTACAGAAGGCAGCAAGGCAAGGAGGAGTCATTTTCTCTCTTGATAGTTGTGCACATAATCAACTTTTGCCACAGGGTAGGCGCCATGACACACTGCAATGCCAATAGATCTGTGTGTTTTGTGGTTTGGCATGAAATGTATGCATTGGCAGCACTTCTTTCAATTTAATAAGCATTGGCAGCACGTCATTCTCTGCTCAATGTTGCCACCCTGTGGTAATATAAAAGGCAAGCCATGCTCACTCCAAACCCACAGTTGACTTACGGTGCAAATGCACAATGACAAGTACACTTCAGAATTTGTCAAAAATATTATATATAATAAACAAAATTACAGTCAAGCATAGCTAACATTGAGGTGAATTAGATATAAGTTTTGTGGAAGTTGGGATTACAGGACCATGAATTGTAGGCTATGCAATCTAGGTGTTCTTTGAAAAGCAAGGGCCAACATGAAGTTCAGGGCTTTTCCAGCACTTTTCTACTTGAGTTTCTAAACATGCTCACTATTGGACATTGTTTCAATGCCTTTTTAACCATCTCCATGAAACTTGTTTGACTAGTTTTAAATTACTCTGGTCTTTGCAGCACAACATAAATGTCAATTTCTGTTTAGTATTTTTTCAAAAACGCATTTAGGTTTAAGTTACCAGTAATATGTTGTCAAATGTCTACCCAGAATTCCTGTTTGTTTGTCTCTGCAGGTGTAAATAAATATCTGATTAAAGCAGAGGTCGTTTTTTTTCCATATCTATTAAAATGTTATTACATAGGTTTTCTGGTTATCAAACAGTGACAGTTGCCAATCGTTCAAAATGTCATTCAATGATCCTATTCATTTTAAAACATTCAGTCCACAAATGACCAATACTGTCATGTGTTACCGGGTAATAATCATTTTGTTATAGTGCCATGATACATTATGACACAAGTGAAGTTTATTTCCAAAATGCTATATCCACCAATTTTCCACATTTGTGTTTTTTCATCAGTAATGATTGCTTATGGGTACCTTCATGTGTGTGTAAAATAATACTGTTCTCAGATTTTTTATTAAGAGATTTTAGATGTCAACATTCTTTATTATTGTTTGCAAAATACTATATATCCATTGTTTAGCTGGAATGTAATGTTTGTATCCTGTATTTGACTGTGATATGAGGTTGTCTCACCTAGCTATCTTAAGAGGAATGGATAAGAGCATCTGCTAAATGACTCAAATGTCAAATGTAAATATTCCTATTCATATTACTGTATTGAACTTTTTTTATATTTTTTTATATTGATGTCACAAATGTATCATTTGTACAGTTCTTTATTAAAAATGTAGTTATTTATTACATCTGACTGTGTAAAACCTAGCAGTACTACTTATTTCTCTGAGAGTGAGGCAGATATATTGCATTTAGCAAAAAAACATGATTATTTGTCTCTCTGAAATTAAACCATCAAGTGATAGATAATCTATTTAAAAAATAAAAGCTAATTTACCAACATTTCTGAAAATGTGTATATATAGCGTTTTGGCATGAAACTCTTCAAGTATGGTTGATAGAAATCTAAATTACTTTGATATTAGCCCTTTTATCAAGAAGGGGGCACATGTTTGCAAAAATGCTGTATATCAGAATACCATGAAGTAGCCGAGCCCAGTCAGAAGTAAAACTATACTGAAAACAGCATAAAAGTGGGGATTGATAACAATCCTGAAAGTGAATCTCCTCCCCTTCCTCCACTCCTATACATTGCACTCTTCTGCTTTCTCAGTGATAGGTGGAAAGACTGAGCCAGTCTCCCCCTTCCCTCCCCTGTCTCCACATGTTCCTCCTCCCACCCCTCCAGCCAGCCAGAATCCCCCCCAACCCCACCCTGCAGTGCCCCAGAGGGAGCCTGATGAGGCAGCAGCACCTGGATGTGAGGCCCAGCAGGTGTGTTGAGCCTGGAGGTCAGGGCAGGGCCTCCTGCCAGGCAGCTCCAGTCCAGCCCCACGTCGATGGGGCCCAACCCAGCCAGCCACAAGGTAATTTCCTGTTTCTCTCTCCCTCTCCCGCCATCCTGCAGAGCTACCAAACAGATGGGCTTTTTATTCAGCAGGGGAGCCTCCCCCCGGTCGCCATAGTAACACATCTGACACACATTTTCACATAGTTAAGATGAAAAGGCTGTTGTGGTCATTAAAAGCAGGCATTCCCCCAGTCTGATGCTGTTTCTACTTATATATTAGCGATGGGATATTTTCAGGGAGGAACAATTTTTAAGGAACAATTTCTAATGGTGCTTTTAACAAAAAATTAAGCAAAGTTTAATTTTGGACATCCAACATTCTGAAATTCCCAGCTGACTACACAGGCATGGTTCATTTGAGTCCATATCTCAGGCAGTGGACTGTGGAGGGTAGGACAGAGCTGGCATTGTCATCTCATCAGACCCCACCACAGGGCTCCCAGTGGTGGAAAAAGTACCCAATTGTCATACTTGAGTAAAAGTAAAGATACCTTAATAGAAAAGGACTTAAGTAAATGTAATTGCGAAAATATACTTAAGTATCAAAAGTAAAAGTATAAATCATTTCAAATTCCTTATATTAAGCAAACCAGACGGCACAATATTTGTTTTATTTTTGTAAAAAAATATATGGATAGCCATGGGGCACACTCCAACCCTCAGACATAATTTACAAACGAAGCATTTGTGTTTAGTGAGTCGCCAGATCAGAGGCAGTAGGGATGACCAGGGATGTTCTCTTGATAAGTGCCTAGAGAAGCTGGAAATGTCTATAGTTCTTACTAGTCCGTATCACGCTCTCAGTCTGTTAAACTTTCTGTCTTTGTATATGGTTGGACGGCTGGTTAGAGGCTACTTTAGGGCACAAGGAAGGGCAACAATAATCCACATACACAGAGCCATGCAGTTCTACAAGTCACCATTAGAGGTCAGATACAGAGTTGGTCCCCAAAAATCCAAGCGAAATGCCTTTCTTTTTTAAACACCTACATAGTATAGTCTCTTCCTTCATAACGTTCTTCTTTGTCTATATGTCATATTCACAATCCTTCTAATATTATTTTCAGCTTGATACCTGTACTGGAGTTCCATCTGTGCTCTCTGTGAAGACAAGGTGTGAAGGTCTCTGACTGCTCTGTTTCATATCCACCACTCTCTGTTAGCGACTAGAATGATTCCATTTACATTCCCAGTTTGACAAAGCATGAATCTGTAATCGAGTTAAAGGTGAAACAGCTTAACTGTCACCCATACCTGTCTTCTCTCTCTGTCACTTCCATGGTTGGATCCTACTGGATTAGCTGGTAGCTTTGAACCCCACTTTGCACCACATCCCTCCCTCCTCTTGTTCCTTCCTCTTGTTCCTTCCTCTTGTTCCTCTCCCACTCCCTCTACCAAACCCTTCTCTTTTTTCACCAATAGATTTGTTTTATCTGAGCTTGTGCAGGGCACACATTCGCAATGGGCTTTTATTACAGTCATAGAGATTTAGAGTGAAGGGATATACCAGCTTGGAGCACACCGAATTAGTTAACAATGCATTATCTGCTTTTTATGGCAGCTATAACTCTCGTTCTGCCTCTGCTTGCGAGAGAAGGGGAGAAAAGGCAGAGGGGGGAGAGACGGAACGAGAGAGAGGGGGGGAGGGCAAAGAGAGAGAGATAATTGTAAAAGTAAATCATCAGTTTATAATTAGGCCTGATAGCCACCAAACTGGCCATAGTTGTCAAACTGTTTTTCAAGTGAAGTCAACTTGTACTGTATGTCTTCTTTCTCTTTTGTTTCCTGGTTAGCCTTTATTAAGTTAGCTTGTTGCTCAAGACTATAGACTGGTTGATCCAAATGCCATTTGTTACTTTACTAGTTTACATTCTTTGAATTGTCTGCAGATGAGGCTACCGTCTGATAATGGGCCTCAGAGGCAGCAGGGAGGCTTCATCCCTGGCAGAGGATGGCTAAGACGATGAGAAGTCATCTGCGTGGTCAGACCAGTCTGGGGGTGAGGAATCTTGGCCGTCTTGTTGGATTGGCCAGGTAGAGGACCCAAGGTCACTATGTCCACAACCTAGGCCCTCTGATGCACACTTATGAAAGGGGAACCCCCCTGCAAGGCAGCACTTAGAGGAAGGTATGAACCTACACAGTAATCACAGATGCTAGACAACTTCTCTACAGTATGAGAGCAATCTTGTTAATCTTGTTGGGTTGAAAAAAGAGGAGATTATGTTCCTGCTGACCTGACGTTTCACCTCAATCCTTTGGTTAATTCACAGCCCTTGCTGACGTTTGCTTCTCCACATCTTTTTTAATCAAAGACCAGGTAAGAATTTAATTTTCTTTATTACAAGAATGCAAAAAGATAAAGCGTTTTGTGTTGTTCAGATTTTTTTAACAACTTACTTTTTAGGAGGGGAGTAGAAGGTGCTTCAACCAACAGCACTCAAGGTGAAACCAAAACTCATAAGAGGATTTGGAGTGAAAAGGTTAGACTCTCACGTAATTAAAACGTATAGTTTTATTTGGCTATTTCAAGTTAAAAACATGACATTTTTGTCTGCCTTTGGCAAATCACTTTTTGCTGAATTGTTTAGGAACACATTTACCACAGACACCATGACGATGGAAGAAGTAACGGTAAGAAAATATATGTATTTATTTAGGATAGCCCTCTCTAATACTTATAAGTGATCTTTCCTAAGAAACAGCTCCCTTTGTTTGTACCTTCATTCAAAAAGTGTTCTCGACATGTTAACTATTAGTATATAGGCCTATGTGAATGAATTATAATGTTATTCTGTATTCAATTGTTCCATTGTTCTAATCTATGATATGAACTGTTAGGCTTTATTAAGTCTCTCTAAAATGTGGAACTAGTCATATTGTGTGTTCTTTTGTCAGAATAAATCCATGGGAGGAGAGGACCCACATTTTTTTTAACCAAATACATTTAGAAAATGGTATTTACTTGCAATAGCCTCAAATAACCAAAACGCCTATATAAACCATGTGGTGGCTTGTGAACATTAAATTGATAAATAATGATGTTTTGGACAACAGGAGGGTATCAGGCAACCAATGAACATCCTCATTATAAAATGCATTAAGAAAACATACAGGGAAATGTTCTGATAGACTGTTTTAGCCAATTCTGCAAGATTCAGGACATCTTTATGGAAGAAGTTTCTGCCTATTTCACCTGCATGGACACCAATATAGCTGATCAAATTGTTGGTAAGGGAATAAAACGTGAATGTAGGGGCATGATTTGGTGGGTGTTGTGTTGCTAAAAATGGAGGTGCCGTGGACAATTTGGACAATGAGCATGTTGCCTAATGGTTGTTAGAGCTTGAAGCTCTAAAAAATGAAGTGCTGTATGTTGAAGTTATAGTGAATCAAAATTCCAATGTTATTCAGATTCCCTACCGCAGATAACAAATGGAAAGAAACTATGATAACAATAAAAACGTTGCTCTCTATTACTCCTTTAACAGATATAGGGAATCATATGGTGAAAAGTCAAAGTATTGTAGCGAGTAAAGTGGATACCTATGGATATAAAAACAATCCAAAAATGTATTTTTTATACTGTCGCAAAGCTAACTAAAAAGCAGCATTCCCCAGGATGGCCTTCACTTCAGCAGTGATGAATTCTTTGACGAAAATATCATAATCATTAGAATACAAATTACGGATTCCTCTTTGAATCTGCGTATTTCTCAAAAACGGTTGTCCTGAGTCTGCACAGAACTGCCAGGACCTAGGATCAATGGAGACACTCAAGTTTTTTAATCCTGTATTTCTCGACACATTCATGAAAATAGTAATGGCCTCTAAACCTTCCAGCTAACTATTGGACCCTATTCCAACTAAACTACTGAAAGAGCTACTTCCGGTGCTTGACCCTCCTATGTTGAACATAATAAACGGCTCCCTATCTTCCGGTTGTGTACCAAACTCACTAAAAGTGGCAGTAATAAAGCCTCTCCTGAAAAAGCCAAACCTTGGCCTGAAAAAAAAAGAAAAAAAACTATTGGCCTATATCGAATCTCCCATTCCTCTCAAAACATTTTGAAAAAGCTGTTGCGCAGCAACTCACTGCCTTCCTGAAGACAAGTAATGTATACAAAACACTCCAGTCTGGTATTAGATCCCATCATAGTACTGAGACTGCACTCGTGAAGGTGGTAAATTACCTTTTAATGGCATCAGACTAAGGCTCTGCATCTGTCCTCGTGCTCCTAGACCTTAGTGCTGCTTTTGACACCATCGATCACCACATTCTTTTGGAGAGATTGGAAACCCTAATTGGTCTACACGGACAAGTTCTTGCCTGGTTTAGAACTTATCTGTCGGAAAGATATCAGTTAATCTCTGTGGATGGTTTGTCCTCTGACAAATCAATGGTACATTTTGATGTTCCTCAAGGTTCCTTTTTAGGACCACTATTGTTTTCACTATATATTCTACATCTTGATGATGTCATTCAGAAACACAATGTCAAATTTCACTGCTATGCGGACGACACACAGCTGTACATTTCGATGAAAGATGGTGAAGCCCCAAAATTGCCTACACTGGAAGCCTGTGTTTCAGTCAAAAGGAAATGGATGGCGGCAAATGTTTTACTTTTAAACTCAGACAAAACAGAGATGTTAGTTCTAGGTCCCAAGAAACAAAGAGATCTGCTGTTTGATCTGACAATTAATCTTGATGGTTGTACAATTGTCTCAAATAAAACTGTGAAGGACCTCGGCGTTACTCTGGACCCTGATCTCTCTTTTGACGAACATATCAATAATATTTATAGGGCATTATTATGACTTACTATCTCATAACTCATAGTCAGATTATTATTTTTTGGGTGGTGGGAACGGGCTTCCATAGATACCCCTGGACAACAGCCTGAGGACATGATTGGTGAGGATCATTCTTCTTCCAATAAAATAATTATGGGTGGGGTAGTCAATGTATAGAAAATGATATGCTTCAAAGCACTGATATTACAGTGGTGCTGACATCTTGTGGTAATGGCAGGACACAATATGAGTAAGAATTCATGAAGCAGTCAAATCTATATCAAAGGCATGACACACTGCACCCCATTGACTATGCACACTCATGCAATGCAGTATTTCACTGCCTCAAGTAACAACACATCTCTTCCTAATCCAGGAGGCCTTTATAAAGGTATCGGTGAAGACCATGAAGAAAGTGCTGGAGAGGATGATGAGGAAGGAGAGGGTGAGGTCTATGAAGAAGGAGAGGGAGAGGGTGAGGTCTATGAAGAAGGAGAGGGTGAGGTCTATGAAGAAGGAGAGGGAGAGGGTGAGGTCTATGACTGTAAGTCGCTTTGGATAAAAGCGTCTGCTAAATGGCATATTATTATTATTATTATTATGAAGGAGGAGAGGGAGAGGGTGAGGTCTATGAAGAAGGAGAGGGTGAGGTCTATGAAAAAGGTCCTGGTGAGGGCAATGTAAAAGGCTCAGGTGAGGCGTGGCCAAATGCAGCAGGTTGGATTAGGTTGTCTTCTGATCGGTTGAAGGTGATCCAGTAGCTGACAGGTTTTGAATAATGCCCCACACACAGTAGATATAGGCACAAACCTTTTAAATAAAGAGATGGCCAGACTGAATTTGTGAAGTGAAACGAAACAATTCAGTTTGGATCCAGGCCACTATTTGGAGGCTGTATTGCAGAATTTTGTGGAAGCACTATCAGAGGCTCATCATCGCTTCTGGGGAAAGGACCTCTCTAGACCCATTCAACTTAAAAACCAGCAGAGTTGAAGCAAAGAGTTTAGAATCCCTACATCAACCTGACCATCAGATCAAACCAGTATTGAACGCACAGCACCTTCAACTCTCCAAGGTCCCTACATGAAAATCTCTTACCAGTTCAAGCTGACTATGACTGAGTATTGATCAACCAGGCATGTTACTAGTACTGTTAATTATATTGTAATTATTGTAATTGTTTGTGCATTGCAACCAATAAACCATATGCTTCAGAAACAAAATACCTAATAGCAGCTGTTCTGACTTTAACCAATTAGTGATCCTTTTGTGATCATCTTTGATTTCAATAAAATGCTCCTGATTATTCAGTTTTGTCCTGATTCTCTGTATAATATATTAGTCCAACCAATTTGCAATAAATTGAATAAAGTGGGAACACTGACCTATCACTGTGTTGGGGCTGGCGGGGAAATGAGTGATTGGAGAAGATGGCAGAAAAGGAAATAAGGAGGAAAGTGGAGAATATTATGAATAAACATGGAGTGGGGGATTACACAGGCCTTCTGAAAGATCTGGTGAAGGAGAAGATGATGGTCAAGAAAAAAAGGAGAACAGTGGAAATGGTTATGAGGGAATATGGAATGAGGGATTTCACAGAATTTTTTGGAAGAACTTGAGGAAATTGAGAGTGACGAGAGTAAGGATGAATTAGATGTGGTGGCAGGTGCAGTGATGACTGTTGAGAAGAAGTTGAGTGTAGAGGGAAGCAGTGTGGCGAGGAAGGTTGTCGTCAAGTGCAAAAAGAGGGACACGTGTTCCAGTAGCTCTGAGATGGAACCTGACGAGAGGGTGGATGAAGTTCCTGCAGTGAGGACCGCTGATCCATATGTGGTGGTAGGTTGGGTGGAGAACTGTTGAGTTGGTGAAATTTTTTTTATTTATTTATTTTATTTCACCTTTATTTAACCAGGTAAGCCAGTTGAGAACAGGTTCTCATTTACAACTGCGACCTGGCCAAGATAAAGCAAAGTAGTGCAATAAAAACAACACAGAGTTACATATGGGGTAAAAAACATAAAGTCAGAAACAACAGAAAATATATATACAGTGTGTGCAAATGTAGCAAGTTATGGAGGTAAGGCAATAAATAGGCTATAGTGCAGAATAATTACAATAACTAGGAGTGGACTAGTGATGATTTATTGTGTTTCTTCAGCCCAAAGGGAGCGGGCACTCCGGATCACTTGATTAGGGACAAGAAATGTGACTTGCTTTGCTCTCCAGAGCAGGGCACCATTGAAAGGAGTGATAACGGGGGTGGCATTAAATGT